ATCACTGAAGTTGGCTGTAAGGCTTTGTGGGACCTATAGGTAGAAAGAAGGACATGTCTAGGCTGCAGCTTAATAGCCCCTATGTTTTGGGGCCCCCAGAAGGGACCCTCTCTCTTCAGCAGTGCTGAAGAGTCTCTTTGGATGTAGAATCTCTTTGGATTTCTGAAGTTTTTACACTTATTTGTTGACTTCGTAGATGTTGAGTTCATCTTTGAACATCTTGGAAACAATTTGCTTAGACCTTGTCTAAGTGTGGAATCTGAAACTGTTCTGAAGCAGGAAACAAGGGACTGGCCCTGTGAGCTATGGCCCCATGTGGAGGTTAATTTTCTGTGTCAACTTGGCTAGGGCACAGTCCCCAGATATCGGATCAAACATTCTTCTAGAATTTTCTGTGAAGGTATTTTTTAGATGAGATTAATATTTATATAGGTAGAGCTTGAGTAAAGCAGATTACCTTCCATAATGCAGGTGAGGTTTCTACAATCAGTTTAAGGCCTTAATAGGAAAAAAACCCTGACCTCCCCCAAGGAAAAGGAACTCGTGGGTAGACTGCTTTCACACTTGAACTGCAGCACCAACTCTTCCTGGAGTCTCCAGTTGGTGTCCTACCCTACCCTACAGATTTTGGACTTGACAGCCTCTACAATCACATGAGCCAATTCCTTAAAATAAACCTCTCTCTCTATGTATATAGGTGTAAAGGAAGTGTATATATATATATACATTCACACATATGTATCATAAATATGTGTACATATAAAATATGTATATTTTAATATAATTACATATTTTCATATATTTTATGTTTATATATTATAAACATATTTTTATATATTATAAACATTTTATAATATATAAACATAAATATTCATATATATTAAATACATTTGATATTAATATATATTAAAAAGTAGTACACAAGCACACACACATCCATAAATATATTTTCTGAAGGACTCCATTTCCCCAAATGTTTCAGATGTTCAAGACTGCATAGTAATATTCTAGCTTTAGCCCTAACTAAATGTTAGTTTAGTCTTTTTTTTTTTTACTGCAGTCACATTGGTTTATAACATTGTATAAATTTAAGGTGTACATCATTATACTTCTGTTTCTGCATAGATTACATCATGTTCACCACCCAAATACTAATTACAATCTATCACCACACACATGTGCCTAATCACCCCTTTCGCCCTCTTCCCTCCCCCATACCCCTCTGGTAACCACCAGTCCAATCTCTGTGTCTATGCGTTTGTTTGTTGTTGTTTTTATCTTCTACTTATGATTGAGATCGTACGGTATTTGACCTCTCCCTCTGACTTATTTCGCTTAGCATAATACGTTCAATGTCCATCCATGTTGTCACAAATGGCTGGATTTCATCGTTTCTTATGGCTGACTAGTATTCCATTGTGTATATATACCACAGCTTCTTTATCCATTCGTCCCTTGATGGGCACTTAGGTTGCTTCCAAGTCTTGGCTATTGTGAATAACGCTGCAAGAGCAGGAAGAGCAACTGAGATCCCAGGATTTTTTAGTCTGTCTGTCCACAGACTAAAAGACAGATTTTTCAGTCTGTCCACATTCAGTGGACCAGGTAAGAGCTCCAGTTTTTCTTCAGTTGTGGGTGGCAGATGAGTGAGTCATTCAGCCAGCAGCAAGGTGCCTGGTGTTCCTAGAGCTATCTTAAGTTCCCCTGTTGAGGACTCCACCTGCACGTACCACAACTGTATATTCATTTGTGAGCAGGCTTCTCTTCAGAAATGCACACATGACATCCCCAACATTAAAACCAATCATTGTCATCCCCAGTGAATCCTACTAATTGGACACTCTCCTAATTCCCACTGAAAATTGGCTTCAGACTTGCATCTGAGAATTTGCATCCAAAGCAGGAAGTTGTTTTGGGGTTTAGATCTTGCTGATCTGGGAAGCTGTTCTGAAAGGCAACTTTCTACAGGCAGAAGATCAAGGGTGAGCTTTCAGCAGGAGATAAAATCCTGATGGGAGAAGACAGATGGGCAGATTCTGAAGCAAACTTTAGTATTTACTATATGAAAGTTTTTGGAATATATTCACTAGCCTCTTTTTTTAAATTGATATAAAATACACATATAAAATTTACCATTTTAACCATTTTAAAGTGTACAATTCAGTGACATTTAGTATATACACAATATTGTACAACCATCATCACTATCTAGTTCCAGATCAATTTCATCACCCAGGAAGGACATTGCTTACGCATTAAGTAGTCACCCCCCATTCCCCTCTACTCTCAGACTATGGAAACCACTAATCTGCTTTCTGTCTCTATGCATTTGCCTCTTCTGCATATGTCATATAAATGGAATCATGTAATATGTAGCGTTTTGTGTCTGGCTTATTTCACTTATCATATTGTTTCCAAGGTTCATTCATTTTGTGGCATGTATGAGTACTTCATTCCTTTTATGGCCACATAATATTCCATTGTATGGTTATACCCATTTCCTTCATCCATTCATCAGCTGATGTACATCTGAGTATGCAATTGTCTTTTAAATCATAGAGGGGAAAAAAGAGGAGTTACAAACAAATGAAAAAAGCAATCATACTGGCTTTTACATTTAGCTATGTAGTTACCTTTCCCAGTGTTCTTTATTTCTTCATATAGGTTGAAGTTACTTTGTAGGGTCCTTTTATTTCAGCCTAAAGGGCCCCTTTTAGCATTACTTGTAGGTCAGGCCTACTAGAGATGAACTCCCTCAGCTTTTGTTCATCTGACAATGTCTTAAATTCTCCCTTATTTCTGATAGATACTTATGCCAGATATAGAATTCTTGGTTGACAGTTTTTTTCAGACTTTAAATTTGTCATCTCACTGCCTTCTGGACTCCATAGTTTCTGTGGAGAAATTGACTGTTAACCATATTGAGCATTCCTTATAGGTGGCTAGTTACTTCTCTCTTGCTGATTTCAAGATTCTTTGTCTTTGGCTTTTGACAGGTTGCTTAGAATATGTCTCTGAGTGGTTTTCTTTAGCTTTATGCTGCTTGGGGTTCATTGAGTTTCTTTAAATTTGAGAGGATTTTGACCATTGTTTCTTCAAATAGTCCTTCTGATGCTGTCTCTCCTCTCCCTTATGGACTCTCATAGTGTGTGTGTTGGTTTGCTTGATGGTATCTCACAGATCTCTATGGCTCCGTTCATTTTTATTCATTCTTTCTTCTTTCTGCATAATTTAATTTAACCTACCTTCAAGTTTTCTGATTTTTTTTTTGCACATTTAAATATGCTTTTGAACCCCTCTGGTGAATTTTTCATTTCATTTATTATACTTTTCAGCTACAGAATTTCTATTTCATTCGTTTAATAAATTTGTGTCTCTTTCTTGATAGTCTGTATTTGGTTAAACATAGTTCTCCTGGCTCCTTCACTTCTTTGTGCGTGGTTTCCTTTAGCTCTTTGAGCATATTTAAGATAGTTGATTTAAATTCTTTCTCTAGTAAGTCTAATGTCTGGACTTCCTCAGGAATAGTTTCTGTCAGTTTCTTTATTTCTTAAGAATGGGCCATACTCTCTGGTTTCAATAAATGCCTCATAATTTTTGTTGAAAACTACACATTTACAATATTATAATGGGATAAAAACGAAAATCATATTTCCCCCTTCCTGAGGCTATTTATTGTTACTTGTTGTGGGTTGTAGTTGTTTGTTTGTTTTGGGAATTTTCTTACCTATTTTTGTATGGACTGTATTCTCTGTTGTCTGTGGTCACTGAAGTCTTAGTTCTGTTAGCTTAGTGGCCAGCTAGTGATTTGACAGAGATTGCCTTAAATATCTGCAGCCAGAAGAAACCAAAGAAAAGAAAACATTTTCCAGTCTTTGGAGCTGGGCTCTGAGAGTGTGTGTGTGTATGTACGTCAGGGTATGCCTTCTACACTCATCTGAACAGTTTACAACTCTGCCTTTGCCTTCCCTTCCTGCTTGTGTGGAGATTGAAGATCAGCCAGAGGTAGGATGTCATGGCCTTCTCAGGTCTTTTCTGATCATGTGCCCCAACCTGGGTGTGCACATGGTCTTCCAGATTCCCAGGAATTTGTGGAAGTTTTCACAGCCCTTATCGTCCAAAGCACCCCACTCCTCAGCTTTTCCTCCCAGGCTTTTCTGCATGTCTATTATTTGCACCAACTGATGTTTTTGCCCCTGGTGACAGCTGCTGGGTTATTGACATTTAAATATTTTCGACAGATGCCCTTTGCCATAGCTCCTTCTCTGACCTGAGAGAGTTCTGAGTGAGGGGAAATAAAGACAAGCCATTTGCATTCACCCTTCAGGTCACAACAGAAAATCACAATTCCTTGATAACAAGGTCCACTCTGATCCCTCTGGCACCAAGAACCCACACTAAAGACAGGCTGTTGTCTTCAAGATCACAGCTGAGTTGGGGAGCAGGAAATGGGCCAAGACTAGGTGACGATACCACAAAGCTCTCCTACGGAGTTTCTGTTGCCTTTTTCCGTTTTGAGAATTCTCTTGGTATCTAAAACACTCCATTATTTTCCAGAGTTCCAATAAAATTGAGTCTGACAGTTTTTGCTAGTTTTTTCATTGTTCTGTGTAAGGACAAGTTGAAGTTCCCTATGCCACCATTTGCTATGATGTCACTCCCTTCAGCCTCTTTTCAATTGTACTTATGCATCACAATTCCTGGTCTTCTAAGGACTTCCAGGAAACTCATTCATTTGGCAAACATTTGTCAAATATCTCCTTTATTCTGGGTACTGTGTATAAAGAGTGGAGTCTGAATAAAAAGAATCAAGCTGTCTCAGCCCTCAAGGATGACACAGCCTAGGTGGGGGCGGGAACATAGGGAAAGGAATTAGAACACAACATGTTAAGTATTTTACCTATCTTATGTCTGTAAAAGTGTGCTAAAGGTGCCATGCACAAGAAGGGAAGATCTGCACATGCCCCAAATGCCCCTGCCCTGAGCAGTCATGTGGACACCCCTCCCCCTTCATATCCCGTAAGAACCCTGATCACTTTCCCTTCACGGAGAAGGTGTTTTAGAGCACAAGCTCTGCCTCTTCCATTCATTGATCAATAAGTAAAGTTTCTGCTCGGCTACTCTGAACCCAGTCTCATTCTATTAGCATGAGTGGCTCCGGACAAAAGGACCCACTTGCGCGTCACTGGTCCCTTAGGGCTTGGTAACAGAAAGCAAAATAATGGCCCCAGAAATATGTCGAAGCTCTAATTTCTGGAACCTGTGAATATGTTACCATGCACAGCAAAAGAGACTTTGTAGATGTGATTAAAGGCATGGACCTTGGAACAGAAGCCATTATCCTGATTTTGGGGGAGGGGCTAACCTAATCACATGGGTTCTTAAAAGTGGTAGACACTGAAGAAGTGTGAGTCAGATGGAGTGTTGAATTTCATCTGTAGTACTTTCTACATCTACTAAGATATGATCATCCCTGTCTTTTCTAATTCTTTAATCAAGTGGTGAATTGCATTAAAAGATTTAAAGTTTAAATATCCCCCCATTCTTGGGATACCTCATGTGGTCAAGATATTTTATTGCTGTATAGTACATTGATGAATGTAGTCCACTATTTTTTCTCAGGATTTTCACATCTAATTTCTTTTTTTTTTTTTTTTTGTGAGGAGATCAGCCCTGTGCTAACATCCGCCAATCCTCCTCTTTTTTTGCCGAGGAAGACGGCCCTGGGCTAACATCCGTGCCCATCCTCCTCCACTTTATATGGGACGCCGCCACAGCATGGCTTGCCAAAGCAGTGCGTCGGTGCGCGCCTGGGATCCGAACCAGCGAACCCTGGTCGCCGCAGCGGAGCGCGCGCACCCAACCGCTTGCGCCACCGGGCCGGCCCCTCACATCTAATTTCTTAATGGTGACTTTTTTATAATGATTTTTTCTTATTGTTCCCTAACTGGTTTTAGGATCAATGTTACTCACGTCTAATAAAATGAGTTTTTTGGCTTTCCCATTATTCCTCCATTCTCTTGAATATTTTATATAAGATCAGGAACCTTCTTTAAAGGTTTGGTAGAACTTACCTATAAAATATTATAGATATGGTTGAAAGGAAATAGAATTCTTGCAACTGCTTTAACTTCTCTACTTGCGCTGTCTTTTCCATTGCCATAAATTTCTTCATAGTTTTAAGGTTGTTTAAGGGCCAGCCCAGGTGCCCTAGTGGTTAAGATCGGCATGCTCTGCTTTGGTAACTGGGTTCAGTTCCCAGGTACAGACCTACACCACTCATCGGTCAGTGGCCATGCTGTGGTGACAGCTCACATACAAGAGGAAGATTGGCAACAGATGTTAGCTCATCTTCCTCAGCAAAACAAAACAAAAAGATTGTTTAAATTTCTCCTAGATCTGCAGTGACACATTTGTCTGAGACAACTATGTTTAGTTCTTAATTAATTTCACCTATTTTATTTCTCTTTTGAAAGAAACAGCTGCTATCAGCAGGCTAGGTGATCAGCAGTGGCAGATGCCAGGTCAGCCTTGGTCAGTGGGAAGCCACATTGCTGTGCCCTTGCAGTCTCTATCCCAGTCTTCACAGCCACTTTGTACAGGACTCCATGAGCAAGACCTGTGGTGCTGGGCACAGGCTGAGTGACACTGTCCATCAAGTCATCTCCCCTACTTGATTACAAGCAACTGCCACCACATGGATACCCTCTGCTCTGCCACATGCACACCAGTGTATTCACCCACTCTGCCCATGTCAGGGAAAGGAATTACCCAGATGCTATGAAAATGAACTTAGCCCCTAGGCAGAGATGGTAGAAGAAACTACTGGAGTAGAGACCCATTTAAGTGCAGAAATGGAAATTTGCTTGTAGTGGCAGTGTCTATGAAGAGCTTAGGACCTGCCATGCCCAGAGTGCCCTTTGGAGAAAAGTACCCTGTGATGGTTAATTTTATGCGTCATCTTGGCTGGGCCACAGGATGTCCAGATATTTGGTCAAAAATTATTCTGGACGTTTCTGGGAGGGTGTTTTTAGATGAGATTAAAATTTACATCATTGAACTTTGAGTAAATCAGATTACCCTCCATAATGTGAATAGGCCTCATCTGATCAGCTGAAGGCCAGAATAGAATAAAAGGCTGCTTTTCTACCACCCCAAGCAAGAAGAATTCTCCAGCAGCCTTGAACTGCAACAGTGGCTTTTCCTGGTTCTCCAGCCTGACAACCTTCCAATAGCCTTCAAATAGGAACTGAACATCAGCTCTTCCTGAGTCTCTACCCTAGCAGCCTCCTTGTCTTAGTCCATTCAAGCTGCTGTAACAAAATACCACAGACCAGGTAGCTTACAAACAAGAGAAATTTATTTCTCACAGTTCTGGAGGCTAGAAGTCCACAATCAAGGCACCAGCATGGTTGCTTTCTCTGGTGAGTGCCCTCTTCCTGGTTCATAGCTAGAGGCTTCTTGCTGTGTCCTCAAAGGGTGGAAGGGGCTAGGGATCCTTCTGGAGCCTCTTTTTTAAGGCAGTAATCCCATTCATGAGGGCTCCACCTCATGGTTTAAGCAAGTCCGAAAAGCTCCACCTACCAATTCCATCACATCAGATATTAGGATTGCAACTGTGAATTTGTGGGGGACACAAACATTCAGAACATAGCATGACCCTACACATTTTGGGCTTGCTAGTCTCCAAAATAATGTGATCCAATTCCTTATAATAAATCTCTTTTTATGTATTTATCATGCATATATTAATATATATAAATATATTTATTGTAAATATAAATATAAATGTATATATCAAGAGCAGAGGTTCCTGAGGAACAGAATCTTCTGAACTGATTCTGCGGTCTCTGGAATTGGTTGTCCAATCTGATCAGATATAAAGACATTCACAACTCTATTTCCAGTAGGAAAGAGAGTAAGAACTGATACTCCATGGCATGATCTGGCAATACAGATATGCAAAATATCTCCATTGGATACTCCTAATCAAACACCTGTAAGAGGCAAGGATCTGGGTGACCATGTACATGATACTTTCAAACATGGAAACTGATCAGGGAAGATAACACTGGACAGTGTGGGGAGGGGGTCATGGGGGAGATCAGTCTCCTCACCTCCTCACGTTATGCTAATAGGAATGCAGACACATTCAGATCCCCTTTGCAGAAAGCAAAGTCAGAGATTTCTGAAGTTACAACAGGAGGTGGGATGTGAACAAATCTTGCATAATTCAGTTCCCCACAAGGCAGCTGTATCACACTATAAAGAAAATAATCATAAAGAAATTCAGGTCAGTCCTAGTTAAGTGGTGAATTCTAAACAGCCCACCACATGCTCAAAATGTCCGGTCAAAGAATCCCCATAACCTAGTTCTGTCATTGGGTTCTCCCCCAACCTCTCTCCCACTTCCTCCAAGTGGGAGGCCCTCCAAGATCTCACCTTTAGAAGCCATGAGAGACACATCTGAGCTCAGGGCATTGTTGCTGCCTGGGATAGAACAAAACAGGACATGGTCAGAGCCCAGAGAAGATGAGAATAAAGGAGGAACCATGGGGTAAGTGAGCTCCTCAGGGCTCCCATCTATACGATCACAAGGGTCTCAGAGATCACCTCCCCTCCATACTTACTTGCTGACTGAGCACAGCTCCCTCCTTTTCCTTTTGTGGGAAGAAAATATCCTGTGAGAAGCCAAGGAAGAGGCAGAGCCATGGGGTCCTAAAGGAAGCCCCTAGTCCTGTACCTGAGAGAAGTTTCCAGAACTGTGATTACAGACCCAAGGCAGGATCAGGAAACATGAGGAAAGTACGTGTGTGGGGACTGGACCAACCACACTCCTGGAGGTCTGTCCTCAGCAGAGATTTTCCCTCTGTCCTGTGACTGTTGGGAATCAGGTCCCCATTGCCACACTCATCAAAGTGATAAATTTGTCCTTCATTTTCACATGTGCTTTACTAAAGAGTAAGTGTTAGCAAATAGGGCCCCAGACTAGGAAAGCACACATGCCTGTGGATGGGACTTCCCATACATGACATAGGGCAAACTTCTACCTGGGCTTGAAACCCCACAGTGGGATTAAAAAAAAAAAAAACTCAAATCACACCCCTTCCCTACCTGAGCACTTCTTCCTTCAGGTCACAAACCCAGCGACCACAGGTCTGAGGAGAATCAGGCCAGCAAGGATGTCCATGATGGGGATGATGGACTGAGGCGGCGGCTCTGGGAAGGGAAATGAAGGTGAGGGCCCTAACCCCCAGTCTCAGCTCTGACTCTGCTGAAGTTCCCGAGAAGGGCTCCTGATTTCCCTGAGAAGAGGCTCTAAGCCCATGTCTCCCTCCTTACACCATCTCAGGTTGACCGGCTTGGGCAGTCCCTGGTGCTGTACACGGCAAGTGTATCTCTGCTCCTTTCCAGAAGGCACAACCACAGCCACCCACTTCTGGAAGGTGCCATGCCCCACAGGCCTGGTCTCCACAAGCTCTGTGCCCTGGCTCTGGTCCTCCCCATCACACGGCCAGGTCAGGGTGATCTCTGCTGGGTAGACGCCCAGGGCCCAGTACCTCAGGGTGACCTCATGGTCAGAGATGGGGTTGTGGGTCTTATGTGTCTTCAGGGGGTCTGAGAAGAATGGTCAGAAAATTCAGGAACTTTACATCCCTCTTGGGCCACTGATGCAGTGCTCATGTGACCATCCTGAGAATGGACAGGACAACTGGAGTGGGAGAAGGGAGTACAAAACCCAGACACCAGGCTGGACACAGGCATCTGGAATAATCTCTGTTCTTTGGAAATTTCTAGAATCAAAGTGAGACATCCCAGGGTAGGAGGCAGGTCTCTGAGGGGGAGAAAAGGGATTTCTAGTTCTGACTTAGGTGGAGGCCAAGTAGCTCAAAAAAGCTGGAGTCAGAAGTCAAACACATAGAGTGTAGGGCAGAGAACAAGGCCTGAGAGAGAGAGAAAGTCCCCCATGGTTTCCAAAGCCACTGCCAGAGTCAAAGGGAACCACTGATCAGTTGTTTCAGAGGTGGCTTCCCCCTCCATCCCAGGAGACACTGCATCCCTTAATTGTCTACAGAGAAGGGTGGGCAACTCTGGGCGAGTCACTCTCTGGTATGCAATCTCAACACCCGGGTGGATTCCTCACTCCGCATCCGTGCAAGGGGCAGTATTCTGGCTTCAATCCCGCTTTCCTCCCCTACTAGACAGACACTAGCCCCAGCCTAAGGGGAGATCAGGAAGGCGCCCCGCGGCCCCGCGGCCCCGCAGCCCCTCCTACCTGCGCACTGCAGCATCTCCTTCCCTTTCTCCAGGTATCTGAGGAGCCACTTCACACACGTGCCCTCCAGGCAGTTCCTCTTGCGCTCCGCCTCAACGGCCGCCTCCCACTTGCGCCGGGTGATCTGAGCCGCCGTGTCCGCCGCGGTGCAGGAGCGCAGGTCCTCATTCAAGGAGATGTAATCAGAGCCGTCGTAGGTGAACTGACTGTATCCGCGGAGGAGGCGCCCGTCCGGCCTCACGTGGCATCCACCAAGCCACTGGCCTCGCCCCCGCGGTCAGCCCCGCCCACTTAGCTCCGCCCCTGAGAGACCTACCAGCGGTGATTGGTCAGAGCTTTTTCAGTATAAACCGAAGACAAAACCCACGGGAATCTCCGCGGACTCTTCCCGGATCAAGGGCCATGTTGGCGGACCGCGTGATGCTCGGACCTGGAAACTCGCGGCGACCCTGGGGGATACCAAGACTCGTGACCAGACCCGGCCCGCGTCGCTCACCGGCCTCGCTCTGGTTGTAGTAGCCGCGCAGGATACTCAAATTGTCTCGGAAACCCTGTGCGTGGTCCTTGGCCTTCCGCGTCTCGTCCTCCCAATACTGCGCCCCCTCCTGCTCCACCCACGGCGCCCGCGGCTCTATCCTCGGACTCGCAGCGTCGCTGTCGAACCGCAAGAACTGCGTGTCGTCCACGTAGCCGACGGCGATGAAGCGGGGCTCCCCGCGGTAGGGATTGGACATGGTAATGTAGAAATACCTCATGGAGTGGGAGCCTAGGGGAGGGGAGGAGTTGAGACCCGGCCCGACCCCCCTCCCTGCGCGGGTCCCCGGGTCTGAGGTTGATGGGGCCGGGAGCGGGGAAGGGGATGAGGGGCTCGTTAGATGGACAAGGGGCAGTGGGAGACCCGAGTGGGTGAGAGGAGGGGATGGGAGGCTGCAGAGGGACAGGAAGGGTCAGAACGGGGCGGGGCCGAGGTTGTAGGGGGCGTGGTTCCGGGGGCTGTGGAGATCCGCCTTCCCCGGGGGTCCTGCGCCCCCGCCACACGGTCCCCTCGCTCCGCTTCCCACAGAAGGCGTTTCCTCCCGACCCCGCACTCACCAGCCCAGGTCTCCTTCAGGGCCAAGGCCCCCAAGAGCAGGAGCAGATGGATTTGGGGCTCATGACCCAGACCCTCAAAATCTGGGGAGAATCTGAGTTCAGGTGGTGGGTGAGGACGTTATAACCCGGAACCGCGGTGCTTCTGAATGGCTTCTCTAGAAACCAATGGAACTGAGACCTGGGGCAGCTTCATATGTGTCCTGGCAGGAGGACCGGACACTGGTTTTGAGAGAGAGAAGTGAAACTCTGCGGAGATGGGGACTCTCCAATTCTTGGCTTCCACACCCCACACACCATCCTCGTGGACTGAAATCCTGACAACCATGCTCAGGGACCTGGGACTTTTCCTGACCCCTCCCTCCTGCACCAAGTGCTCTTTGTCACACTATCTCCCTGAGGCCTGGCCACGGGGCTGTATGAGGAAACCAGGGAGAGACCCCCAGCCCTGGCTCAGCTCTTTTTCCTCTCCTCCCCTTCCTGGCTTCCCTCTACCAGACCTGTACTCTTACTCCTTAACTCTTCCCCTGGACTCTTCTAGAAGAAAACTTACTCCCAGGGAATATGGTGCCAGAGAGTGAGCTGGCCTTGAGAAAGTGGGTGAAGAAACAATGGTTTCCTCTTTAAACCTGGGACAGTTGTGCTTGGGGCACCAGGCAGAGATTCTGGTAGAGACCAGTTTCCTTTCTGTTTATTAACTACAGTGGGTAACACAATCTTGCTAACCCCTGAACATCAGGAATCTAATCTGTAAAAGTAGTGATTTTACCTTTCATATGTAAATATGTCTGAATAGCCCTGCAATAACCAAACAAAGCTCATAAATTTCACTTTCCTCAACCGTGAGTCCAGGTGTTTGTATTTTAAAATGATCTCCATTCCATAGCCCTGGGTTTGCCTGTGTGAGTCCCCACACGTCCTCAGGACAGAGAAGCACATGGAGGCGCAGTTTGTTACTGTGTATGATCTGTGCCTGGCCCTCAATTTGTAAAGGTGACTGAGGCAGGGTGGGAGAGGCTAAAGCCATTGAAAGAAGATTTTCTATTTCTTACATTTCCCGAGAGGAGAGGGCAGGGCACACCATACGGGGCCACATGGGGAAGCACCAAGGTGGTCAGGAGGCAGAAGGAGAGGAAGAAAGCATGGCTCAGAGCACTTAGGGTATTTTCCTCAAAAAAGGCAAGGTAGCAGGGCTGGGATAACATCTTAGGATTGACTAGTTTGAATAATGTCATTGGTGGGCTCTGAGTTGCAGGTTTGTCTCTAGCTGTCTGATACCTGGCCCTAGGTAATTAGGGCAGAGGAATATTGACTCCTGGAGTGTAAGAACCTGATAGAAGGGGTGGTTCAGAATATGAGCTCTGGATTGTTTAGTTTGCAAAGGAAAGGCTTAGCTCCTGGGCAAGCCCTTTGCTGTCTCTAAGAACTGGCTAGCCCTGGGAGGGGCAGTCTCTCCCCAGTTATCAAGTCCACAAATGCCAGAACATCAAGAATACAGAAAATAAGAAAATATCATGACTATAGTATATTTCAACCAGAGTGTGCAAACTTCAGTCACCTCAAAGTTGCAAGTATTTAGTGCAGTCAAAATGCCCTTCACCAATGCTCATGCACTGCCTATGTTTATGAATTAACACCTAAGGGATGTGCATATTTTATTGGGGCATTTGGTATTGTTTTCTTTAACTTGATTAACAGAAGGAGACAATTGGTTTTTAGGCAGCCCCACAGAATGTAGTAAATACTAGCTGCAAAGACTATCCTGCTAAACCATGTAGATATATATTTATTAAAAATCTATATAACAGTGACTTAAATCTGAGAATCCCACTGCTTTAGAATTCTTTACCTCTGCTTCTTTTCCTCACTCCTGCTCCTCCAGCCCTTCTCTCTGTCCCTCTCACCCTCAGCCCCTCTTCTCTCCTTAGTCTCCACCATTCCCTCACTTCTGAATTTTGGCACCAGCGCCACCCCCTCACCTGCCCCCATGGACTGTTCTCCCCACAGGGGTCAGTGATCCTTCTAATGTGAGTCAGGTTGTGTCATTTCTTCACTCAGAATGCTCCAATGGCTCCATCTCACTCTTGCGAAGCCTCTAGAATGTAAGGCACATGAGCACGGGGGGCTTTGGGCTACTTTGGTTATTAAAGTTGTAGAGCCAGCATGCAGAGCCATGCCTGGTACATTGTGAACACTGAAGTAATTGTTGAATGAATGAATAACAAATCTGATTGTATTAAAGTTTAATTGCACCACATAAAAACTCAAAATGAAAAATATGAAAACAAAAATTAGGAAAGATTTTATTTCATGCAACTAGTGCACATGACAGTTCATAAATTCATTCCTGTGGAAAAAAAAGCTTTTGTGCTTATCTGTACCACAGTGGAGCCTATGTATTAGTTTTCTATTGCTGCATAAAACCACAAACACCATGGCTTAAAATGTTACTCGTCTATATGCTCACAGTTCTGTAGGTCAGAAGTACAGGCATGGTGTGGAGTGGTTCTCTGCTCAGCGTTTCAACAGGTTGTGTTTGCAACCAGAGCTCGAGGTCCTCCTCCGAACTCATACAGAGCTGTTGGCAGAGTTCCGTTTCTTGTAGTTGTGCGACTGAGGTTCCCACTTCCTTGCTCTATGTCAGTGGGATGCTGATCCCAGCTCCTATGGCCACCAGCACTTCTTGCCATGTGACCCCATCCATTTTCAGGCCCTCCCTCAAATCTCTCTCACTCTTCCCATCTTTTCTCTCAGGAAGAACATACTCCTATTAAAGATTCTCGTGATTAGGTCAGGATTACCCCGGGTAATCCCCCTGTTTTAAATTCAGCTGATATGGACCTTAATCACATGTGCAAAACCCCTTCACAGTAGCACCAGATTAGTGTTTGATGAAATGATTGGGAGAAGGGGAATAACCAGCAGTTGGTTATTGCAGGCCATCTTAGAATCAGCCCAGCGGGGCCTGGTTCTTCTTTTTCTGTTTAATTTGATCACAGTTGGAAATCAAAGTTCAAATAAATAGATTTTGTGAATGTTAATAACACTCATTCTGTCCACATAGCCATGGAAATTCTTCTTATATTTTAAAACCAAATGATATGTTTAATATTTCATAGTTAGTTTGGAGCAAATCAAAATTAAAATGCAATAATTCAGTCTCTTCTTTGGATCCTCTATTAGTTGTTTATGGCTGCATAACAAATTACCCAAAACTTAACAATTAAAAACAGTAAATGCTTATTATCTCCCAAAGTTTCCCAGAGTTAGAAATCCAGGAGAGGTTTACCTGAGTTCTTTTGGCTTAGGGCCTTTCTCAAGGTTGCAGTCAAGTTGTCAGCCAGGGCTGCTACATCTGATGGTTTGACTGGGGCTGGGAGACTCACAGAAAACATAGCTCACTCATATGGCTGTTGGAAGGGGCCTCAGTTCCTTCCTGGATGGTCCCAGGAGGCCTCAGTTCCTAGCCACGTGGACTTTTCCATAAGGTGGCTAGTGACTCGGTAGCTGGCTTCTCCCAAAGCAAGTGATCCAAGTGAGAGAGCAACCAAGATGGAAGCTGCAATGTGTTCTATGTCCTAGACCCGGAGTCACACACCATTCCATCAGCCTTACTCTATCAGTTAGCAGTGAGTCATTAAGTGCAGCCCACACTCAAGAGAAGGGAATTGAGCTCCACCTCTGGAAGGGAGGAGTATGAAAGAATTTACATACACATTAAAACCAAAATTAAATTAAATGTTGTCTCCGGAGTTTGTAAATCAAATGCTTCTTTTATCTGATTATTTTTCTTAAACATTTTAAATTTCTCATTTGAAAAGTGATGATTAAAAGTTTGAGACAGAGAAAGGAGATACAAGAATATTTGTAAGATTTTTTTGCAATTTGAGGATATATAGCTAGATCAAGTAGTTCCATGACATGGGTGCCATTTAACAATATGCCTTTAAAATAATAACTATCATTGTTTTTCCTTAGAAATTTCAAATTTAGTTTGTTAAGAATGTCCAAAGTATTGGCTAAAATGCCAATTTTCTTACTCAACATCATCTTCAAAAGTATTTGTCTAATGAAAT